AAAAAAAAAAAAAAAAAGAAGAAAGAAAGAAAAAAAAATGTAGCTTACTCCTATCACAGTAGGGTCAGTTGAGATACTTCTGTTATGTAGAAGGAACGCTGAGGACCCAGGCATTATATAATAGGCTAAATCACTGACCAAAAGTAAACTGGGAGGAGATAATATTTGAAAACCATTTTCAAGCCTACCACACTAAGACAAACATTACTTTTAGCATGTACCAACAAAAGATTACAATATCTGCTTTTACTTACAGGTTTTCTATGTTTTACTAAACACAAACAGTTTCTTTTATGATGTTTCTAAAACCATGTAGCAAATATCATTGAGCATATCACCTTAATGACCATAAATATTAAAATCCCCACATCCAACAGGTCCTCTGAGTGTGTGGACCTGTCAGGAGAGCAGGTGGCTGGCTCCTCAACACCCCACTCCCACCTTAGGAAGGAGAATGGCCTTTCATACCTGTCATCATGAGAAGCAATTCTTTCTCCAAAGACCATCCGGGCAGGAGTTAAAGATAATATTCCGAGCTCCTGGAGCTGGGTTAAGAAGTGCTGTTCTGTTCATGAAATAAGTTGAATACACATTCAGAAAAGGGCTATTTTCCCAAATGTATCAATAAATGAAAGTACACTCAAATGTTTCATTTGGAGAGCTGTAGAAAACCTTTTTTTCTGTTGACTCAATTTTACTAACTCACTGGGAAGGGAAAAAACAAACCAATCAAGCCAGACCCATACTAAGGCAAAAACAACATATGAACTAAGTTTAGTTATTTTTTAAATATAAAAAGATTAAACTCATTGCTTCTTAAGAGGAGTAGGCCAGGTGTGGTGGCTCATGCCTGTAATCCCAGCACTTTGGAGGCTGAGGCGGATGGATCACTTGAGGTCAGGAGTCCAAGACACGCCTGGCCAACATGGTGAAACCCTGTCTCTACTAAAAATACAAAATAAGCCGGGTGTGGTAGTGCGTGCCTGTAATCCCTGCTACTCAGGAGGCTGAGGCAGGAGAATTGCCTGAACCTGGGAGGCGGAGATTGCAGTGAGCTGAGATTGCATGCTGCACTCCAGCCTGGGTGTTTAATGAAGCCTACTCTCAACAACTCTTCCAGAGCTACACTATAAGAAATAGAGGGCAAAGACAGGGATGACAAGAGACCCTGAGAGAGGGTAAGGGTGGGACTAGGGCAGATCTAGGGATAGGAGGGACAAATGGTTCTAACCCAATCCCAAAAAAGGTCCCTATGCCAAGAGTCTGTTGAAGCCTCCTCCTACTGGTCTCCTATCCAGCTTCTCTTAGGTGCTCATGCAAATATTTGCTGGTTTTCATGGGGGTGGGTGGTGACAATGGAGAATGGAGGGCCAAAGCCACATTTTAGAAAACCAGTGATGGGCGAAAGCAGCTAAAAGCTCAGGGCCTGAGATTCCCAGGCCTGAATCCCCTACAATAGTACTCATCACCGACTTAAGCAATGCAGAGCATGTGTAATGATTAAAAGACTCCTTCAGGGATCCAACTGCAAAAATAACAAAATGAATGGATGTGTCACATGCCTCATGTACCCTCTGTTACGATGAATATGCTCTTCAAAATGGGGGAAGTTGGGAATACTTGGGAACTGTGTGGTTTGACCATTTCTGCCCCACTAGTGACTAAATTTCACTTCCTGTTTAATGTGCGGGGCAAGTCCTGTACTCACCCTCCCTCCCCACAATTGACTTTATTTTTCCAGGCACTCTGATGTGTTAAATTGCCTGGCATAGCCCTTTCACCTACCTTCCTATCATGACCTATAACACAAACAACCTGAAGTTTCTCTGAACATTTCATGATTCATAGTAAGATCAAATCTTTTGTGTGTGGCCTGCAGGTATGCCAGAAGTACTTTATGGTTAACGGAAATGATTTATATTAAGCTTAACATAAGTTCCCTATAAACAACTATGTTAACTTTCCACCCTACCTCCTAGTATTTCTGATGCTGTGGCACTTTTCAGTTGATGTTTTGCTAGGTGCAGTTGATTTACAATTTCATTTTTAAAGCTGTTGCCCATGACACACAGCTCTATTCTAAATAGCATGTGTTGTAATTGTAAGCTGACTCATTAAACATTTCAATAGAAATTTGAAAAAACCAGTTTGCCTCACCTGTGACATTAGGATCACGCCTTGTTCTCCACTGAGGGACAAATACAGTGATGTTTCTGTTGCCAAGCTTCCAAAAATATTCAACCGCAATTGCAATTCCACGACAAGAAAAGAACTTTTTCAGACCATGGCTAGAAATAAGAAAGGAAATTAAGTAAAATGTATTTCTGTTTAAAGCACATTAAGTTTCACCATAAAAAGGTAACCTACACATACAACAAACAATAAGCAATTATTCCTTCAATATTCTTATATTTTTTGGGATTTAGCTGCATAAAGTTAGGATGGAATCCATTGTAGGGGATGGAACACTTAATAGTATCTTAGGATTTTTCTTGCATTTTGTTGATCTAACTGGGTATGCCGTTGTGATAGAAGGCAGTGAGCTCCATATAATACCTGTTCCCCGTGACGGAAGAAAGGGACAAAGATGTGACACGGTCATCACCCCTGCAACCTCCAAAGATGCTGCTGTGTCCTGCCCCCAGAAGGCTCCACTCTGTTCTGGGAATGGCAATATTTACCCAGTTTATAGCTTACGAGAAACAAGTTGAGGGCAAGACTCAAATGAAGCTAAATGGGGGCTGTGAAAGGCTATTTTAAGAAAGCAGAGAAAAAAGGTTAAAAAAAGAAAAAAAGCCCAAGGAACAGTATAGAACACAGGTCAGCACACTTTTTCTGTTAAGAGCCACACAGTCTCTGTCATACCACCCAATTCTGCCACTATGGTGTGAAAGCAGCCACAGACAACTGTAAGTGAATGTGTGTGGCTGTGTTCCACATTTACAATAACAGGTGGTGGACCTGATTTGGCCCACAGTTTACAATCCCTGGTATAGAGGATTAAAAAATGCCCACGCCTCCATCCATAACACATGTCACTGGAAAGGAAGAAAGTACTTAAATTTTACTCTCCAACAGTTAATTAAAAGTGGAGATAAAACGTGTTAAAAGTTTAAAATTCTGCAGGTGGTAATTTGTCTACTCATGGGTATTAGAAAGAAAAAAAAGACTAAAATTTCAAACAGTGATTATGTGATTAGCATAATCTAAGTTCACTGCTTCAATGGTCACTTAGATTCCAGTAGCAGTACCCCCTGCATCTTCAGTCCTGTCTTCTCTCTGCACATCAAAACTGCTTTGTAGAAATACTTCACCTGAAAGTCCTGCCATTATGGGCATACGTGTCCCAAGGTAAACCCAGGTTCTCCTAATTCCAACCCACCCTGCAAATTCCAGTGATACTAACCTTTAAATGCAGCTGAGGCCTTTGATTCTGCTCAGGGCCTTCAAAGGCACTGTCCTTCTACCCTAATCCTGCCTGGCTTCCAGGACCCTTTCTCATCTGACAGCATCTGGCCAAGTGACCCTCCCACTACTATGTGACAACACTCTTAGTTTTGGCCAGGTCTTGCCATCTCACCCCTCCTGGTCTCGAGCCTTTCCTTGTGTTGCTTTCCATATGTGCAATGCTCTTGTAACTTTTTCAAATGCCCTCAGGACTGAATTCTGACCCCTCTTCATCTATGAAGCTATTTCTAGACACAGGGCCTCTCTCAGCCTCCTTCCTCTTCTGAGTTCCAATCCTATGTGGTGGACCAGAATCACAGAGATAGAATGGCATTTAGATGCCTGGGTTAGAGAGAAAAAGGAATCACTAGGGATTGAGCAGCCTGCCTAGGTGGCACAGGCAGAGGGATGAGCTGGACCAGACTCTGGTTCCCTCACATCTGCCAGTGCCCTTTCCACGACCCCACAGCGGGATTGTCATCCCACCTGCATCTGCATTTCTTGAGAGCAGGAAGATGCTGGACACTATGAACATCTAATGCTCTGTGAGATTCTGAAGAGCTACTTACAAACTCCTGTTTTTAAAGGCTATTTCTTTTTCAGTGAACCATAACCAAGATATTTCAGAGGCCCTTACCCCTGAAAATATATGTAAATAAACAAACCCAATCTTGATAATTCTGGAGTGTTTTATCTAAAAGCATTCAAATATGGCAAGAAAGTAGCAAAGAGACATTTGTAACTAGAAAAAAGACTGGGGGGGTGGTTTTTTAAAGGGGGCCTTTTTTAATCTTTCAAAAATAATAAACACCCATCACTCTAACTGCTTAACATCAGGAACATGCCTAGAGTTAGTATCAACCACAGCCTTAATTTGAAAATCCATAATAGAGTAACCTGCTGGTTCTTAGAAAAACCAAGAAATGTGTATATTTAGTCCTCAAAAGGATAACCCTTGAGAGAACTGCACTGAAAAAGTTTTCAAGGTGGCTCCTTGGTTATTTGACAGATACAAATGTATGCTAACTACTCTCCCTCTTTTCCTCAACAGCTTCTGGTGATGGCAAGAACAGGAACTGGATAGAGGAAGAGTACCCAGTTCAATTCCACTGGGTCACCACATAACAAGGGTGGAAATGCAGACTGATGAATTCTGCTGCCCTAGACTCCTTACAAGTCTAGATGGGGAATAAAGTGAGTTTCTAGAAACATCAGCTCTCAACTAAATTCCAAAGTATTATTCTGAGTAATAAGATCATATCACTTTTGATACTCTTAAAAAATCTCAGGAGTGGAATTAAAACAGTGGTTCAAAATTCTGGTGGAGAGCATATAAATTTACCCAAAAAATAAAACTACAACAACAAAATTTTAAGTGGAGTCAAATTATTGTCCTCAGAATAATATAGAAGGCCCACTAAAGACTCTTCTTCCGGACTGGGCGCGGTGGCTCACGCCTGTAATCCCAGCACTTTGGGAGGACAAGGTGGGTGGATCACGAGGTCAAGAGATCGAGACCATCCTGGTCAACATGGTGAAACCCCGTCTCTACTAAAAATACAAAAAAAATCAGCTGGGCATGGTGGCGCGTGCCTGTAATCCCAGCTACTCAGGAGGCTGAGGCAGGAGAATTGCCTGAACCCAGGAGGCGGAGGTTGCGGTGATCCGAGATCGCGCCATTGCACTCCAGCCTGTGCAGCAAGAGCGAAACTCCACCTCAAAGAAAAAAAAAAACTCTTCTTCCTACTTCAAGTCCTATACCTTGACCAGGAGACATGTGCTTACTCATCACTGTCTCCTAGCCTCTCTACAATCGGACCAGAGTAGCATGCTGACAGGTAAACCCAGACCAAAGGTCTATTTTGACCCAGAGACAAAAAATATATATGATAACACCTTGCTACTTACGGGAAGGCCAAAGCTCTGGGGCTCCCAGCTTCAAATGCAGAATGAACAGTTATTAAGTCTGGGAGGCCAGGTGTGCAGGCCCTCAAGAGATTTAAGTGCCTGCTTCCATATAATTGGATAAAACTTATATCATCTAGTTGTTTGCCATATTATAGAATGCTGGCAACTGAAAGAAAGTGTCCAAAGTGGAGGAGAGATGGGTGACACATAGTAGATAAAAACTCATGGCAGCCATAGCACCAGACAGGAAAATGTGGGGAACAGTGGAAAGCCCTTTCTGAGTTACCCAGGAAAAAGGAATTTCTTTTAATGGAAACCTAATATGGAAAAGACTAACATGAGAAAATGGTCAATATACATAATTCTGGCAAGGGAAGGGGCAAATCTCATCTACATGGAAAATTATCACCCCATATAAGTCAGGGGCTCTCATTATGAAGTTTCAGGCTGACAGTGCCCAAATGTTTCTTGGCCACTACTGTGCTGTCTAGCCATATCATACACTGCAAACAATTTCCACTTACTCATCATTTGACTCATTCATGGTTATGAGGGGGAAAAAACAAGATATACAAAATTGGCAGCATTAAAAACAGGGCGCTGTGAAATTTTTCACAGGTGGAAGGGGCTGCGGACCTCATACTGGATAGGCAAATGAACAAAGGCTTTGCAAAAATACATCGAAGGGTGGGTCTAGGCTGCTTTAGGGTGGGGCTCACACCCACGGATCCTATTGCTTAAGGACTCACATTTCCTTTTAACTACTTCCCCAACTACTTGGGTCAAATCAGTGAGCTTCAGTCAGCAGCACTATGTAACCCAAGACTTAAGTATCCAATGATGCCTTGGCCTGAAAATTCCAACTTTAGCTTCTGTTGGAGGAGACAGGGTATATGGCAGCTCTGGGAAAAGACATTATGGGTCCAAATCTCTATCTCTGTAACACTGGAAAAGATTTAAGACATTTCATGTTGTATAAATTATAACTTTCGCCTCACAATTGGTGTGAAGGTTGTTTCATTTAAAAAATACAGTGCCTGACACATAATAATGGGTGTTTGGGCTTTATCCCCAAAATTTGTTGCACTAAATATATGGCTTCAGTTAAAAATCTAAACTGGCCACTGCAACAGTAACCATGAAAATGGGTGGTAAAAAGTCACTAAAAAAAAATCCTAAACTGGGCATGGTAAGGCGTGACTATAGCTTCAGCTACTAGGAAGGATTGTCTGAGCCTGGGCAAAATAGTGAGACTTTACCTCTTAAAAAAAGAATAAAAATTCTAATTTGCTTTTAATTTATCAACAAGTTTTTACTGAGCTCCTACTATGTATCAGGGACCATGGGTATTAGAGGTAGTTCATTGAACAGAAAGAAGAGACACAAATCAGTTTCTTCATGGAATCTGGTCAAAGTTAATTCATGCTTAACACTGAAGCAACTAATTTAGAATAAGGGTTGATTTTTTTTCCGATTTCCAAAAAAATTACTGAGGTAAATTCACATCACTAAAATAATCAATTCAATGGCATTTACTACATTCACAATGCCATGCAACCACCACTTACATCTCACTCCAAAAGAAAACTCAATACTCATTATACAGTCTCTTCCTAGAATAAGGGTAAATCTTAATTACTGACATTTTCAGATCAATTTACATCAAACTAAGTACAAGTCTGTCTTCTTAAAGTAACACATTCTTTTGTAAAAGTATTGCCTTTAAACAAGGACATTTGTGAATCCAAAGAAAATGCAAATCCTCCCAAAACAATGTTTTCAAAAAAAAAAAATAATAATAATGAAAGTCAGCTTGCAGCTTTCCCTTAGTGTACTAATTAGTGGTTTTCAAAAGAGATGATACTGTACTCAGGGCATTAGGAAATATGTGGGAGTGTGTTTAGGGTGTCACAATGACTAGGGAAGGATATTATAAGCAAAGTGGGATGGACTAGATTTGCAAAACATCCTGTCACGGATAGATAGCACCACTGTAAATTTCAACAGTGACCCTGCTGAGAAATATCCCTGTTAACTACCCCAAAAGGTTTTTAAAAACCATCATGATCATTGCTCATTCTATGTAACTTGCATTTCCTATTCTTTGAATACCAATTTGGAAAATCTTTCCATGTGTAGGAAAGTGAAAGAGAATGAATACTGCTCACAATTGTGACCTAAATTTTGTGTCACCAGTTGGCTCAAGGAATCGTAACAAAGAAGAACTTGTTCCGGGCTTGGGGTGTGGGTGACTGAAGTTGTCTGACATTTTTGCTTAGATATCGCTATGCAGCTGCGGGTCATTTGCTGGGTTTCCCCTAATAGGGCTGCCAAAAAAACCAAAGTGCAATGACAATAAACAGTATTATTTGGAAATGAAGATAAGCATATTGCATATTTTTGCTGCCTGTCTTCAAATTTTAACATCTGAAATGATGGCATTTTCTTTTTGACAGCAAAACACAGCATCGATAATTCATTCAAATAAAAAGCAAAAGAATCCTTATATTTTAAAAAATACATACTAAAATATTTAGGAACATATATCTGAGATTTCCTTCAAATTAGGTGTGGAAGGCAGAGGTGAGGGCCAGGATGAAATAAAACTGCTCATGAGGTGGTAATTGCTGAAGGTGGGAAGTCATTATCTTGTGTATTTGAAAATCCTAATAAAACAATTTACAAAACAAAAATTATAAATATATAATAAACATGTATTTCAAAAATAACACTTATTTTTCAATCCATTTTTCAATCCTAATAGGTATTCTTAAAAACTCAGGGCATTAACTGATCTCTCAGAACTCCTAAAAAATAAGTTACACTAACATTCAGCAATTCGGAAAAGCATTGTTAAGATTTAGCAACTTCTCCCTCATTCCATGTTCAGGTGGCCTGTTTCTTGAATTGTGGCTACTTAAAATGCCAGACCTTGAGTATTTCTTCGAAATCACTGGTGTTAGATTAAATCTGGCGTAAAGTTGTCTCCATCCATAGAGATCTGCAAACTTACTATGTGAACAAATTGCAACCTAAGAGTATTCTTGTAAAAAATATGGCGGAGTCTCAGCCAATCACAGCAGCCAAGCTTCAGCCAATCACAGGCTGCCAACTGTTCAGACCATATCCATATAAGGCATATGCCTCATAACAGTATGCATGGATAAGGCAAATGCCAACCCCTAGTCAATCAAGCTGTTTCTGGAGGGCACTTCCTTTTTCTGCCTATAAATACTGCCTGCCCTCATTGCTGGGTGAAGATCTCTGAACCTCTCTTGGTTTAGGACGCTGCCAGATTCATAAATTATTGTTTGTGCACATCAACTGCTAAATTTCATTTGCCTGAAATTTAGCAGTGGGGGACTGGTTTTGAAAACTGAAGGCAGACTTAATACAGTTGTTGAAATGATATGGTAAAGATGTCCCTAAGGACAGGTCAAAAGGCAACAGACTGCAGCAACTGAAACTCCAAACAGTTAAGTGACCTGCCCCAAATCAAACAGCTGGTCCAAAGTGTAGGGAGACTCTTGACCCTCTCACTCTTCTTAGCCACAATCTTAAACTGCCCCTGAGAAAAGAAACTCAAATCAGAGGATTTTAAACTAAGAGGAGTTCCAAGACAGGCTAACTAGAAATGACGGGTTCATTAACTGATGTCTTTTACTAAAAACAAATAAACTTTTAATAAGAGCAGAGGCCCACAATGAAGCTCAAACTAACTAACTTCCTTTGAAGGGAAACTGCCATTGCTCTATCCACAGAAGTACCTCACACCTATTGCAACTGCACACTCTTGGCTAGAGATCTGGCATATTCCATCATAAGATGAAAAAAAAATCCTTTTGCTTTAAGCTCTATTGTCTTCTTTAGAACATAATGGTACTCACAGTATTAAGAATTTAATGACTTAAAAGTCACTATACTACATATCACTAACAATGCAATGTGAAAAGATAATTCTCTATCCTCTCTTGGCCTTAGAAATTAAGTTCAGCAGGGTGAAGTAAAGTTCATAAATCCTGAAGATGAACTGACAAAACCTTTCCAACCAGTTGGTTCTCATTCCCCTCCACCATTCAACTCTAAGGCTACAGATCAACAATATACAACATGTATGTATAGTTCCTATATACATGTGATTCAGAGACACCATTTAGAGCCCTATTTAAAATAGAATAATCTGCAGAAAATGGACTTACGTAATTGCAACATTGCTCCCATCTATAACAATGTGTTTTAAATCCGTTCTCCCCGGTTCATTTTTTAATTCCAGCTTGTAGGGTACTTTTAGAGTATCTCGAAACCTTTGGACCCCAGTAACTGAGGAATCAATATGATCAGAAGGTCCTGCCAACCTTGCATCAGTAACCGAAGGTAACAGCTGGGGCAGTGGCATTGGTGAAGAAAGGGCTGAACAATTTGGCTTAGAATGAGGAGAACTACAACATCCTAAACGTTTTTCACAGGCAGATTTCATATTATTTGGATGCAAGGGTTCTGGCTGCTGGTGTAAACCATTTTCAGGAAAAACAGGAACTCTGGGCTGGTGACTTGAAGGTCCCCTTGAAACAAAATTGACTTCTTTGGGACTTGAAGAGGCAACAGAAGGTGAAAGGCCATCAGTTTCAGGGTCTATGTTACAAACATAGTTCTGGTTTGAACCCCAGACTTCATGTTTCTGTTCTATGGGCACTGTTCTGAAAGTATTAATTCTGCAATTTGAGGTACATGGTTTAGCTTCCCCTTTGAATGGTAACTGAGGAAATTTTTCTACCATATTTTGCTGTGTGTGAGTCTGTGTTTTCTTTGGAGTGGAATCAGTTGTAAGCTCATTTGTGCTGCTATAAACACCTTTATTTTTGGTTTTGTTGGTCTCTGGATACACAGTACCAGCTGAAAATTCTCTGTCTTCTTGGAATCTTTTATTTTCTTTTTCAATTTCCTCTAAGAGCAATAATGGTTCAGTAGATGGTCCATACTCCTTAATGACCTTTTCAACAATTTCTTGGGAATAGCCCATGGTTTTAAAGAAGTTTACGAGGATGTTGTATTCCATTTCCTCAGTAGTGTCTTTTGTATCTGGACTTAAATTTTCAGAATCGGTAGAAGAATCAGACAGGTCAACTATTACATTTTCAGCCAATGTCTTAGCATCATGTGAAATCTCCCCCTCCTGAACATTTTCCAAAGAAAACTGCTTCTTGGTATGCCTTTCTTCAGAATCAGAAGATCTCCTTTTCTGACACATTCTCTCATGGGAAAGTGCCTCTTCCTCTGGGCTTAGACCATTTATTGGGTCAAAAAGCACATCTGGTGAGCTAGAAAGGACTGTGTCCATTTGTTGTGTAAGCTCAGAAACAGGAGTCCCAGCTTTATTTCTTGCCTCTTCCTGCAAAACAGTTTCATCTCTGGAAATATTCAGCCCTGTAGCAGCATTCTGTGTAAACTCTGTTTGTTGAGAATCTTTAATTTCAATAACATCATCATCCCCTGTTTCAAAGAGATTCTCCTCACCTTGTGTGAGTGTCAAAAGTTCTTTTTTCAAGGAAGTGGGCAAAATCAGCAAATCCATTGTGTAATTGTCTGCATGGGCTTCAACAAATTGTTTGAATTCTCTTTTTACCTCTGATTCTTTCTGACTACTGGGTAGGTTCTCCTTATTTTCAAAGAGCTTTACAAACTGTTGAATGTGACTCCTAGCCATGACCACGGCCTCAGCACTTCCTCTGATGCCAAGAAGGCCAATGTCCAGAATGCAGAGGTCGGCACAAGTATCCTGAATCAAGCTTTTCAGAAACAGGCTCTCTGCTCCAACAAAAATGCAGTGCATGGCCTTGGGGTAACATTCTCTTTCTTCTAGTTCAGGTTCACAGATTCCTTTAATATATTCCTGCAAAGAGAAAATAAGAAATTAGGTCAATTTACACAAGTTCCTTTTAGCACATAATAAATTGCACATGTAACTACAAATGTCAGGCTGATTTTATAAAAATCACAAACATATTTGTAAGTTTGAACAAAATGTCATGTTTTAAATAAAACATTGAAAATAAAAGATATACCTTGCTTAAATCATCTTTAGATGATTTGCATCCAAATTTAAAAGGTCAGTATTTTGTAACATTTTATGCAATGTGATCTTAGGGATTTGCTGAGTTACGTAGTGGATAATCCCAAGGCTGGATTTACATCTCTAGTGAAAAGATATCTCTGCTTGCTACCAGTAATTTATTACTTCCATGATATAATCAAGAAATAAGATTATCAAATCAAGTGATTCACTAGAGAACAAATCTTGACTTTTAGTACTGTTACCCTTGGTTTCCAGATTTCTTGAAGGTATAAAGAATAACATTAATTTTTTTTGGTTTTTATTTTGCAAAGCAAAAGCAAGTTTATTAAGAAGCAAACAAAAATTTTTTTTCCAGTGGTTGAAACAATCTATATCCTATATGAGTTTATGTCTGTTTCCTACAGAAAACCAGACTGTTAAATTAAATGCAGATCTAATAGAACAAGTGAATGTTGGACAGTACTGCTGTTCTCAGATGTTGGTATTGAAGGGGGTTGAAATGAGGCAAGAAAGGGAACTGGGTTCCCTTAGCAATTAGTTGCTACTGGAGTCAGAAGCATGAATCAAGCAGGCAAGCAAACACACACACAGGAACATATCTGTTAATAACTTCGGCTCTGGGGTCACTGCCTTGGTCTAAAATTCCAGCCATATGACCGATACTATCTTGCTCAAGTTACCTAATCCCTCTGAGCCCAGTTTCTTCAACTATAAGCGGAATGAAATCTCAGTGGTTTTGAGGGAATTCAAGAAGATAATGGAAGTTAAAGTCTTGACAACAGTGCCTTGCACATAGTAAGTGCTTACTAAATATTAACAATGCTGTTTCTGGAGAGATATTTGTAGGTAATGAGCCTGGAGATCTATGATCCATATTTCAAACTAAAATTAGAATGGTGTTACCAAAAAGTTTAACCTGCATAGCATCAGTCAAGAAGAGGTAAGTAAAAGCCTGTACTTATACCATATTCTTGCTGTGATGGTAGTCACACAACTTTAGTGAGAGTATTCAAACGTGTATAAACATTCCTTGCTGCATCAATGATTTAGAACTACAACTGAGACGTGGGTCACCTCTGCTGAAGTCTGACTTGCAGACCCTGACTTAATGATGGATGAATGAATGGACTCTCACACCATTACAGTGTTTCAAGTGAGCTACGGATGGCCATAGGTTGCTTCAGAGAACAAAATGCAACAAATCGACCTAGGCCCTCTCTGTCCATCACACATGTATTCCCTCAAGATTTTACAACAGAGGTTCTAAGTTAACACACTTGTGGATAATTAACAGAGTTACAAGAATGGTTACACAAATGATAAAAGCTTTAGGTTTCCAGCCCAGAGTAAACACTATTAACAGGTAATTCCTTTTTGACCTCCCACTGAGACAGCCACCCAGCACAAAGTTAACATGAGTAAACAGAGTAGAGACAAAGGGATGTGGGGTAAATAAATAGACTAAAACCGGGAAAAGCCTCATCCCTATTTTCTCCCTAACTTAATGGAGCGGTGGGCCTTCGGCCTGCCCCAATAAAACCTTTTTGGCCTTCCAAAAAGGTTTGAGACTAATCTATAATTTTTCCTAAAAATTACTAATATTTTGCCAGCCACCCCGAATGAATAGCAACATACAAAATTTTTGTAAGTAGATAGAACACCAGATATATGAGCTCCCTTACCTCCTTCTAAAAGCACCTTAGTATTTATGATTTTGGCGGTGAGGCATGGAGGTAACTGGTGCTGGATAGAGGAGTTGTGTCTTATTTTTTCAGAGACAGGGTCTTGCTCTGTTGCCCAGGCTCAAGTGCAGTGGCGTGATCTCAGCTCATTGCCAACTTCCACCTCCTGGGCTCAAGCGATCCTCCCATCTCAGCCTCTTAAGTAGCTGGGACTACAGGTATGCACCACCACACCTGGCTAATTTTTGTGTATTTTGTAGAGATGAGATTTCATCATGTGGCCCAGGTCGATCTCAAATCCCTGATGAGCTCAAGCAATCTGCCTGCCTTGGCCTCTGAAATGCTGGTGTTTCAGGTATGAGCCACTGTACCTGGCCAAGCTCTGTCTTTTTAATAGAGCAGGCTGCTATTTTTTTGTGAACATATCAACTGAGTTAAACACAAAGTACTGTAACTTATCCCCTTTTCCTGAATGTGCAAAAGTGTTAAATACTGAGGTCAGCATCCCTGAAGATTTCCAAAGAGGCAATATTTAGCTCTCACTTGTTTGAAATTATGCTGTATTTAGGTTGTCGCTTTAAAGTTTTAAAATTTTGAAATAATCACAGGTTCTCAAGAAGTTGCAAAGGTACTACATAAAGTCCTGTGTACTCTTCAGTTTCCTCTAATCATTCTATCTTACGTAATTACAGTACAATTTCACAGTCAGGAGACACATTTCTGTCTATATAGTTCTATCATATGTGCACTCATTTTATCGTATGTGCAGCTTCCTGAAACTACCACTTCAGTCAAGATACAGAACTATCCCATCACCACAAATATTTCCCTCATTAACCCTTTATAGTCATGCCCACCTACTCCTACCTTCCATCCCTAACCCCCCACAATCTTTTTCCATTTCTGTAATTTTGCAACTTCAAGAATGCTATATAAATGGAATTATACATGACTTTGGGGTTCGCTTTTTTTCCCACTCAACATGCCGATGTTGAAATCCATCCAAGCTGTTGCACATATCAAGAGTTCATTCCTTATTACTGCTCAGTCGTATTCCATGGGATGGATGAACCAGGTTTTTATCCATCTCCCTACATTTTGGTTGCTCTTATTTGGAACTATTACAAATAAAGCTGCTATGAACAATCATGTGCTAGTTTTTATGTGAACTCAAGTTTCATTTCTCTGGGATAAATGCTCAGGAGGGCAACTGTTGCTGGGACGTATGTTAAGGGTGTGCTTAAGTTTTACAATGGACTGCCAAACTATTTTTCAGAATGGCTATACCATTTTACATTTCCCCAACCATGTTTGAGAGATCCAGTTTCTCCACAACATTGCCAGAATTTGAGAGTCACTAATTTTTATTTTACTTGCTCTAATAGGAATGTGGTATTTGGTCTTAGTTTACATCTCCCTAATATAGTGGCGTTAAACATCTTTCCATGTACTACTTATCATTTACATATTCTCTTTGGTAAAATACTTATTCCTTTTGTCCACTTTCTTCCTTTAAAAAGTTTTCTTTTAGGCCAGCGCAGTGGCTCACACCTGTAATCCCCACACTTTGGGAGGCCAAGGTGGGCAGATCATGAGGTTAGGGGATCGAGACCATCCTGGCCAACATGGTGAAACCTCATCTCTACTTAAAATATAAAAACTAGCTGGGTATGATGGTGCGTGCCTATACTCCAAGCTACTCAGGAGGCTGAGGCAGGAGAATCACTTGAACCCGGGAGGCGGAGGTTGCAGTGAGCTGAGATCGCACCACGGCACTCCGGCCTGGCAACAGAGCAAGACTCTGTCGCCAAAAAAAAAAAAAAAAAAATGTTTTTTTCTTTCAATTTAGCCTAGGTAACATGGTGAAACCCCATTTCTACAAAAAATACGCCAGGAGTGGTGTTGCATGCCTGTAGTCCCAGCTACTTGGGAGGCTGAGATAGGAGGATCACTTCAGTCCAGGATGTTGACCCTGCAGTAAGCCAAGATCATGTCACTGCATTCTAGCCAGGGCAAAAGAGCGAGACCCTATCTCTAAAACCATTTTTTAAGTTGACAAATGATGATTGTGTGTGTACATATTTCTCTATATACGTGTGTGTGTGTGTGTGTGTGTGTGTGCGCGTGTGTGTGTGTGTGTGTATTTTTGGAGACAAGAGTTTCACTCTTGTCACCCAGGCTGGAGTAGAATGGCGTGATCTCGGCTCACTGCAACCTCTGCCTCCTGGGTTCAAGCAATTCTGCTGCCTCAGCCTCCCAAGTAGATGAGATTACAGGCATGTGCCACCACAACATCGCTAATTCCGTATTTTTAGTAGAGATGGCACTTCACCATGTTGGCCAAGCTGGTCTTGAGCTCCTGACCTCAGGTGATCCACCTGCCTCAGCCTCCCAAAGTGCTGGGATTACAGGGATGAACCGCTGTGCCAAGTTAATTGTATATATTCATGGGTCACACAGGGAGGTCTCGATACATATAATACATAGTGATCAGAATAATCAGCATATCCATCCCAAACATTTAGCATTTCTCTATGTTGGGAGCACTCTATATCCTTCTAACTATTTGAAACTATATATTATGGTTAACTATAGTCATTCTACAATGATATGGAATACTAGAATTTATTCTCCCCAGGGAGCTGTAATTTTGTATCCTTTAACAAATCTCTCCCTACCCTTCCTAGTCTCTCATGTCCTGTCCATTTTCTAATTGCATTGTTTGTTTTTTTTACTGTTGAGTTTTAAGAGCTCTTTATATATTCTAAGAGTCTTCTGTCAAATATGTGGCTTGTAGATATTTTCTCCTAGTGTGTAGTTTGTTTTCCCATCTTCTCAACAGGGAGGTTTGTGACAGCAAGTTTTTAATTTTAAGGAAGTTCAGTTTAACGATTTTATTCTTCGCCAAGCCTGAAGTACTGAAGACTTCTTCAATGTTATCTTCTAAGTTACACATTTAAACCTATGATCCATTTTTAGTACGTTTTAAAATAAGGTGAGGTTTAGCTTGAGATCCATGTTTTTGCCTATAGGTATAATATTGCTGTAGCACCACCAATTCTTGAAAAGGCTATTCTTTACCACTGAATTGCACCTTTGTCAAAAAAATCACTTGGCCATACTTGTGTAGGGCTA